AGATAAACAGTACTTACCTTGAACAGGCTACGAATTTACTCAGGGTTAGTACTAGAATGCCACGAAGCTTTGGCAAGAGTATCCATTCAACAATTTGGTCACCTTAAGATGGATGGATCAAAGGTTACGCCACATCGAAAGGTAGTCTTATTGCTGATTCATTATCCAAGAAGGTGGCCAACCAAATATTTTTTGGACCTGGCCCTTCTATTAAACTGACAACATCGGTAGTGACATACCTAATTAAAGAATATTCCCTTGTGAAATTAAAGGAAAGATGGGATGAAATAAGAAACTGCTTAGTTACCATGGAGCTTTTAAGTAATCCTGACAACACAACAACAAACAAATACTTGACTACGACTAAACCGAAGCTCCGTCTGATTACAGGCATTCTGACTGGTCATTGCCAAGTACGGAAGCATCTCGATATCATGGGGCTGTCAGAATCCGCACCCATCAGGGGTTGCGAACAAAAAGATAAGACCATTGAACATATCCTCTACGATTGCCAGTCGCTCTCATTTATTAGAAGATTTGTTTTCGGCGTGTATTGGCTATCGCATCAGCCGATATAAGAGAATCACCTCTTGGCGACGTTATCAACTACATTAAATATGTATGCTGGCTCACGAGCTAGGAGGTGCCTACCATTTTAGGTGGATACACAATGGACCTAGTAAAGCCTAAGTGCCGTGGGGTAACCCACCCTCTACACGTTACATATCTAGAAGTAGTGTAGATATCTGTAAATGCATTTCGATTGTATCCTGATAGCAATGACTTGGTTCCTCGAAGTGAGGTTTTCATATATTTTAAATATTGTTTTTTATTATTGTTTATTTACTGTTTTAATTCGAATAGTTTGAAAAACAAAAAAATAACATATTTAAATAAAAGGCTAGGGAATTAAACGATGAATAATACGTAAGCGTCAATTATCGTTATAGGTAATACTTATTTAGAAATTAAAAAAAAAAACATTGACAGCCAGATGCATGAACGTTCAATAAAATTTACGAATAACGCAATGTATTTTTTTTTTCATGTAATACAAATTTTTAATTTCTACTTAGTTAAATACAACTACTTAACTATACTGCAATTTTCACAAAACGCTAATAATAATATACCAAACGTTGCTCTTCATAAGTGACAGCTATATTTGACGTTAAACCACCTCTAAAACACTGAGAAAACTTGGCAGTTTTTTGTCCACAAATCGCCCATTTAGTTTCGCTTCTTGGGTAGGTATTCTTTGCTTCAAATAATAATATTTATATATTATTATTACTAATATACCTTTCCTAAAATGGATGAAGCTATTTTACTTTCCCAATTAAACAATATACAAGAGGCAGAAAGAAGAGCAATTAATGTCCCAAGAGATTTTTGGTCAAGTGGAAAAATGAGGCAGGGGATCCCTTTGAATCCTTAAATGATAGACAATGTCTCAAATATGATCAACGCAAGTTTTCTAGAATAAGCAATCCCAGAATAAATTTTGTTTCATTATTAGGAATAGGCTATTTCAGAATAAATTTTGTTTTATTACGCAAAATAAATAGCAACTATTAATAACATAATGAGATGTTAAAAAACTTGAAGCTAAAATAATGAACACTCTTAAAAATCCTTAAAATTCCTTTGTTTCTGCTATTTTTCCAAGGCACAAGTTATTCGTTCTTTTGCCAAAACATTTCTCTCTAATAAATTGAATTTTTTGTCATAATAATTTTCTTTATTAAAGTTTTTATTTTGTAACATGCGTTCAATATTTCGGCTAGTATTCAAGGTTTTAGTTAACCTTGTAGCAGCTACTCTTCGTTTTGGATTTATTGTGCCCCTTGTACTAGGTTCAGCACATGATATATTTTCACGTTATTTTCTAAAAAAAGGGGTTGATTGTTTTCTCTGACAAGATGGCAAGTGGCAAAACAAGAGTCAAAAGTTGACGATATAATCAATGATCCCAACATTACTACTTGAAAGTATTGAAATATAATATTGATTATGATTGGTCAGTTTCCAATATTTACGTACTTAATACCCGACATACGTTAGACATACGAATAATCGAAATTCCCATAGGAAAAAGGTTCCTAAACTAGTCGAGAATACCATTTTATAATACCACTGGAATATAAGCATGGGAATATATTTATCCATGGGAAAATTTTCCGGTGAAGTCGAGAATTGAGGCCCAGGGATACAATTTCAGGATGCGCAGAAGACTGCTGTTTGATTATAGGCGGTTGTCATATCATATATTGTATTAGACATTCCAAACAAATGAACTGCCAGTGGGAAGATTTGATATATCCAAGGGTTGCGACATACGATGTATTCTCTTTACAATACGTAAAAATCATGAATAATGGATTACATTTAAATATTTTATGTCAAACACAATAAAAATAATATACATTTTTCATAAATTGGCAGGCTTTGTGACTATTATTTCGAATAAAAAAAAAAAAACTTTCAAGATGCAAGACTATGTCTCTACCCCCTTAGATATACCAGACCTTCTCACTGACAGCTATTGTTTGACAGATCGTTGGAATGCTTAATTGGTAATAGTACGAGAGCACACTGCAAATTACGATCGCCATCTGATAATAAAATGAAATATGCTCCAAAGACATGTAACAACATTGTACTTTACCAAATTGCATCTGTGCCAATCTGTAATCCAGAGCAAAGTGGTTAAAAAAAATTATTTTATATTCAAAAAATTACATAAGACATGACAGCAATAATTGTGTTTTCTCTGAAAATTACAATCCTAATTCATTGTGAACCTAGCTTTTAAACCTGAATTGTTAATATTTTTACCTAACTTTGGCAGAGATATCAATAATAATTATGAACTCTTGTTAGACAATCCTTTTAAACCATAATCATAGTAGTTTTTTTGTCGTTTCTATGACAACCTGTAAAAATGAATTACTACAATAGGCATACAAATAAATTTTTACCTACTAATCGTGTGTAGATGTTTTTGTGCGATGTTAAGAGGAAGAAAATGTTTTCCGTTAACGATATATATCAAGATATATTTGAATATGTTATTATCTGGATAACTGTAAACTGTAAGGGCAAACAAAATTAGCGCTGTCATGCCTTATGTGATTTTTTTAATATAAAATATTTTTTTTTTAAGTTCTTTGCTTAGGATTGGGATTGTCACAGGTGCCATTCGGTAAAGTACAAAGTTTTTACAAGATTTTGGGGTATATTGTATTTCATTATTAGATGGCGGTAAAAATTTACAGTGGGCTCTTGGGCTATTATGATTTGATTATGTATGCGCCAGGGATACAAATCCGAGTTGCGCAATTTATAAACTGGAACATTGAGATCAAAAGTGCCGACGCATAGTGAGCGAACTGATTCTTTAGCTATAAACTGTGGCAAAGGTGATTAGGCCAAAGTAGTGTCTACGAACCGTGGGAGAGACTATGAAGACTAGAGAGACATATCTTGGTAATATTCCAGGACTTCCAGGAGAAAGTGAATTTTTTTTCGTACTTATTTTCCCAGTCGGTTTATATAAAAATAATCTGTTCTCTTAGTGACAAAAACAAAAATTTTTAATCTGGCTAAAATTTTTGAATGGATTCAAAAAATACAAAAGCAATACAAGTCTTCCCATGACGACTAAAGAGCGTTCACATTTGGGTTGCGCTGACTGTACCTGTCTATGTCACCTATTAATAATGTTGTTTGAAAATGAAACCATTTAAATTGAGTGAAGTGATACAGTAGTTTGTGCAATAAGAGTGGATATGGACAATTTATTCGAGTTGTACAGCATATGTTTTTCTACGGCTCTCTAACGAAAATATACAAATTTTAAAAATTATTTTATTATTAAGACAAAATAAATAATTTTCAAATAATTTAAGACTTTTACTAAGTTATATAAGATAAAATAAAAATACAAAAAAGACTTAATTTAATTTAGTTAGTCCCCAGACCAGATTTAGACCCGGGCCTCTAGCAAGGCAGCCAGACGCTAGTAGCCGGATGACCTAAATATGAACTATGATTGGTGGATTTCATTTTCTTGCAGTGCTCTTACTAGGTAGAATGTATATGAAATATATTCGTTCAGTTGAACGCAATGGCATACTTTTTCGTTTTGTAGTCTGTGGTTTTTATGTTTATTTTATTTTATAAAATAGTAAGTCATAAGTTATTTTAAAATTAATAACTTAATTTTTTTTTTAGATTTTTGTTAGTAGATCGTAACAAAAAATGTACGCTACAACTCGAGTGGATTGTCCATATCCACTCTTGTTGCACAAACTACTATTTTTTAAAACTACTAAATACACTTTATTGATTTTTATTAAATAATTTTCTTTTTTATTTCATACATTCCAACAGACAGATCAGGGAATATTACATATCAAAAGTATAGTATTATAGAGGAGAGGGCCTATAATATAATTTAGTAAAAAAATACGTTTAATTTGCCAAATAAATTTAAAGTAACATTTTTTGATGACGTAACGTAAAAAATTATAGAAGCATTAATAATTGATGTAATTAGGCCAAATATTTAAAAAAAAATTAGAATTAGGGCCCCTAGAAAATATAATTTCACTGCAACCATAGCAACGTAACAAAATGAAAATGAAAAACCTGTAACTCGATTTAAATAGTTCTTACACCACATTTTTTTTTAATAAACGACACAAAAATTAGTTACTATGAAAACGATAATTAAAATGTTTCTGAAACCGCTTCTGTCCAAATTCAACAAAACATTTAATCTGAATCTGCCTTACCGACCGTGTGCAAATTGACAGGCTGTCAGACGTCAGAACTGACGTTGACATTGTCAAAATTATCACGTTTGTCAAAAATCTTTATGAACAAATGGAATCTTTAAGCCAGTTTTATTTATCTAGATTATAACTTAAAATTATCACATATCTTTAATGATATGCTTATCAAATACGTACGTGCTAACTAAAATTAGGTGAAATATGGCGGAGTCAGTCACATTGCAAGAGCAGCAAGAGGGTACTTCATCGTCCACTGTCACTTTACTGGAAACTGAGGAGCGCGAACAGGTACGTAGACACACTAATACGTATTACGCAAATGTTGAACTCGGTGAGAATGTATCGTCCTACCAGCCGCTTTTTGACGTTATACGCCAAACAAATATATTCACATAGAAATAAATCAATACAAACAAGTTCTGAAACTAATGAGTCGCCATTAAATGGGATCCGGGTCATAGACTTGACTAGGATTGTGGCGGGGCCTTATTGTACAATGGTTCTTAGTGATTTGGGTGCTGAAGTGATTAAAATCGAACGTCTTGGAACCGGAGATGAGTGCAGAAAATGGGGCCCACCTTTTGTAAACAACACTCAAGAGACCTGTTACTTCATGGCTGTCAATAGAAATAAAAAAAGTGTCTGCGTTGATTTAAAACAGCTACAAGGTAAAAACATACTGTATGAAATGTCCAAAAAGAGTGATGTTCTTGTGGAAAATTATGTACCTGGTAAATTAGATGAACTGATGTTAGGATATGAAGATTTTAAAAAAGTTGCTCCTCATCTTATATATTGTTCTATCACTGGATATGGTTCAGAAGGGCCTTATAAGAATAGACCTGGGTACGATGTAATAGCAGCATCTATGGGTGGATTGCTACATTGTACTGGACCTATAGATGGGGAGCCTGTCAAAGTTGGAGTTGCTATGACAGATATTACAACCGGTATGTACCTACCTAATTTAAAAAATTGTGATTTTCCTAAGTAAAATAATAGATAATATGATGTACCTTAAGATTACATACTTAAACCTAAACAACAAATAGCTATGTAAATTAAATCAAATAATACCTTTATATTAAAATTACTGTCTGCTTCATATGACTGAAAATTTTACACAATTATTAATGTAGTTTTCACATATAATCTGCTTTTGTTTTTAAAGATTGTAATCATGGGTTTCCATTTTTAATACTCTAATTTAGTAATTATGTAAATTATGGTTCCATTGACAGTTACAGTGGCAGTAGACTTTAAATGAATTTTGTTTATCTAAATTATATAGTTAAGAACTTTTTAAAATATATTCCTAAAGGTCTGTTCCAACACAGGTGAAACCGTTAATATTATGGTACAAATCATGGGATATATACAATTTTGCGAAAGCGCATGATTTGATTGTAAAATATTATCGGTTTTGCATGTGTTGGAACAGACTTTAAAGTAATTAGATAACATCAAGTATTATAATTGTTTAGTTACCAATTACATACTTATAAACTATTTTCTACGACCTGCAAACAATATTTTAAGAAAAAAAAAACATTGCATCACACTATTAGGCATAGTTTCATGAAAAGGTGTGAAACATAAAGACAATGAATGAAAGTTCAAAACCTACAATGATTACTACTTGCAAGCTTCTGCTTTTGAATGGACTAACAAAAATAAGAAAGTGAGGTTACGATTATTAGTTTTCTGTATAAGTTTCCTATTTCCTTGGAGTAAGAAGACCTGTCATTATTGTGATAAGATAATCTATCAGCCTTTGCTACACTTAATTTTAGAATTACAAATACCTAATGGTTTTAATTTTAATTTTAAATTTGTTTATCTATCAATATTTATTCAAAAACTAATTATCGGTGTTTCTTACTTATAAACTTCATCTTCGATAGTTAAAATTATTGCAGTAAAATTAACAGTTGTTTTAAAAAACATAATTATTTATATCACTTAAGTAAGACATTCATTTAAAACACAGTCACTATTACAATTGAGCATATTATGTTTACTATGCCATATATTCTTTATCATTATCAGGGAATTAATTTTATAGTAGATTAAGCGGTAATTTAAAATGTCTTATTATATTTAGTACATTTGATTTCTTTTATGAATCTCTGTTATGATCTAACTTGTATTACTTAAGTAAATCAACCTAAGACAGGTTCATTTTAATATTATATGAATTTTTATTCATTATTAATGTTAATTTTGATATACTTCTTAAAAAATATAATTTATTCGCTTTAGTCATATGAAAAAACTGGTTATTTTTGTTTTTAAATCAAAATTATGTGACATAACAACTTTACTTCTTCACGTTAATCCTCTTACCTCCTAATTAGGTCCGTGAAGTTAGCACTGCCAAATGTTATGAAAAATTTAAAAATTTAAGCCAAATTTAACTCGAAATTTAACCAACACCATCATAAAAACTTTTCATTAATTTCTAAAGTGGCATTTGATTGTCCATGATTTGTCCATGTTTGTTCAACCCTCAAAACATATTTCAAAAAGAAAAAAAGTAATTCACCTGGTTTTAATAAATTGCTATTAGAAGTACTAAGGTTAATAATTTTTTATATTTTGGGCACTTTATTTTGTTAATCACTAATTTTTTTAAGCTGACAAGTGAAAGTAATGGGTGGACAAACTTTTGCTTCATTTATTTCGAATAAAATGTATAAAGGTTGTCCCTAAGGACCAGGTGAATTATTATTTAATTTTCTAAATATTTCGGTTTTGAGAGCTGGACAAACGAAAATTTTTGTTGGACAAATCGTAGACAAACTATTGCCACTTTCGTTTTATAAAAATTCGCATTTGGCGGTGCTAACTGCAAGGTCCTCTCTTAAACTAAACTCATGTACAAATCTCCATTAAAGGTTTCAGTGGATGCTCTGTTTATTTTCCTGCATCTATTTAAATAAACCTACTATTGATGCCAAAGAAGGCAGCAGAGCACCTAGGGAATTTTGAGTTGTAACCTATGCCATATTTATAGGCTATTTTTTATACTCTATTTAAACATTTTATGATCGTCATTTTTGTAAAAATCAAGAACGAAGTCAGCAGAGCACAAGTTTTTTACCAAAAACAACAACAACATATTTTTTATGTTTATGTTTTTTATGTAATATAAATTTTTTGAAAAAAAAAAATAGTATTTTTTGAAAAATAGAGGGTGTCTTACTAACTTTGAACGAATCTAGCAGAGCACCTCAGTTTTTTAAAACTTTTTTTAAACAACTACACCTCATTTTTAGGCTCTTGAAATATTATATAACACTTTACTAAAAAATTGCTATTTTTAAATAATACAGGGTGCTTTGTTGGAACAAAGTCAGCAGAGCACCTAGGTTTTTTAAAGCTTTTTTTCTAAAAACAACCACACCACATTTTTAGGCTCTTAAAATATTATAAAAATTTACTAAAAATTGCAATTTTTAAATAATACAGAGTGCTTTTTGACACGAAAGTCAGCAGAACACCTTGGTTTATTATTTTTTTTTTTTTTCTGGAAACAACGATTTATACCATATGTTAAAGCTAAGTATTTTTAGGCTATTACAATAAAAATCTTTTCGAAAAAAATTAGTCTTTTGAAAAAATACAGTGTTGTTTGGTAGCTTCGAACGAATCTAGCAGAGCACCTCAGTTTTTTAAAACATTTTTACATTCTTATCTGTATGCAGATAAGGAAAGTATAGAAATCTTAATTCTTTTCGACGTTTTTTTACGTTTTGGGGTCCCCTAAATCCGTTTTGACTATTTTCGTGATGATGTCTGTGTCTGTGTCTGTGTGTGTGTGTGTGTGTGTGTGGTGTGTGTGTGTGTGTGTGTGTGTGTGTGTGTGTGTGTGTGTGTGTGTGTGTGTGTGTGTGTGTGTGTGTGTGTGTGTGTGTGTGTGTGTGTGTGTGTGTGTGTGTGTGTGTGTGTGTGTGTGTGTGTGTGTGTGTGTGTGTGTGTGTGTGTGTGTGTGTGTGTGTGTGTGTGTGTGTGTGTGTGTGTGTGTGTGTGTGTGTGTGTGTGTGTGTGTGTGTGTGTGTGTGTGTGTGTGTGTGTGTGTGTGTGTGTGTGTGTGTGTGTGTGTGTGTGTGTGTGTGTGTGTGTGTGTGTGTGTGTGTGTGTGTGTGTGTGTGTGTGTGTGTGTGTGTGTGTGTGTGTGTGTGTGTGTGTGTGTGTGTGTGTGTGTGTGTGTGTGTGTGTGTGTGTGTGTGTGTGTGTGTGTGTGTGTGTGTGTGTGTGTGTGTGTGTGTGTGTGTGTGTGTGTGTGTGTGTGTGTGTGTGTGTGTGTGTGTGTGTGTGTGTGTGTGTGTGTGTGTGTGTGTGTGTGTGTGTGTGTGTGTGTGTGTGTGTGTGTGTGTGTGTGTGTGTGTGTGTGTGTGTGTGTGTGTGTGTGTGTGTGTGTGTGTGTGTGTGTGTGTGTGTGTGTGTGTGTGTGTGTGTGTGTGTGTGTGTGTGTGTGTGTGTGTGTGTGTGTGTGTGTGTGTGTGTGTGTGTGTGTGTGTGTGTGTGTGTGTGTGTGTGTGTGTGTGTGTGTGTGTGTGTGTGTGTGTGTGTGTGTGTGTGTGTGTGTGTGTGTGTGTGTGTGTGTGTGTGTGTGTGTGTGTGTGTGTGTGTGTGTGTGTGTGTGTGTGTGTGTGTGTGTGTGTGTGTGTGTGTGTGTGTGTGTGTGTGTGTGTGTGTGTGTGTGTGTGTGTGTGTGTGTGTGTGTGTGTGTGTGTGTGTGTGTGTGTGTGTGTGTGTGTGTGTGTGTGTGTGTGTGTGTGTGTGTGTGTGTGTGTGTGTGTGTGTGTGTGTGTGTGTGTGTGTGGGTTTGTCGGGAAATCACTGTGTGGCCATGCGCATAATTCATACTATAGTAGTGTGGCCATCCTGAATTGTGTGGCCATTTTTGGGACCCCACAAGTTAAAAGCAGCTTTAACGCATTCTACACGTTATGCTGATTCGAATGGTACCTACTTTAATACATTGTCCCCAAAAGTGATGTTATAGGTTGTGCCAAAATGTGTGCTAATCGATGAGACGAGAGCAAACATTGTGTGGACAAAGTAGTTGATCAGCAAGTGCTGCCCTCTTTAACTTCTTCATTCGGCGAACTATTTTACACGGATTATAACCTACCTTACGGGACAAGTGCAAATATTTAAAAGTTTTGAATATGTTATTTTATTATATGGTACAGCGCGATGTTGCCGCTTCTGTAGTTGCTTGTAACTATTGAATATTGAATAAGTGTCTTGCGTATTTGAATAATGTACGCGTCGGCCCAGATACTTTTATTTATTATACAGGGAACAGAGAGTCGAAAAGACGCTTCTAAAACATCGAACTGTGCACCTCGAAGATATACTTCTAAAAAAATATGTACTATGTGGGGAATGACCCTGCGGATGCAAATTCAGAAGGCTCCGTTAAATTAGCAATTACAAAACAGAATAAAAATATATTTTTCGATTATTTTGATTTATCGTAAAAAAACAATTTTTGGTGTTTAATTCGCGATTGTGATGCCGTTTTTCAATATGACTTAGACCTAAACATCGGTAAAAAATAACCATCAGGGTTTAAATTAATATTTATTTAGCCTAATAATTTATATCAACACTACCCAGACAGCACACCAAATCCTTTGGATATCTACTGAACATCCCAATATCCACTGAATGTCCAGTCCATGGTGGATATCTATTTTATATCCATGAAATGTAATTTATAGACATGCAAATGTCCATAAATAATTGTAATTATATAGCAAATTATTAAAAAATTACGCCATTGTACTCGCCATTGTGGCTAATAGTACCGTTGAGATATTTAAAATTAATTTTTTTTAAGGTGTATTCAATATCCCATGGACATCCACTATAAATATATCAAAGTCTAAGCGCGGACGCAAACCATCGTGGATATCTACTAGATGTAATTTTTGAT